CGGCGCTCGCTTCCTGCCGCCCCCCGGCCCGGCCCGGGCTCCGCAACGGGCCGGGTCCCCTGGGCCCCGCGGCGGGAAGCGGCCGGCAGGAAACGTCCCGGGCTCCTGGAGAGCGGGCCCGGGGCCGCGAGGAGCAGCTGCCGCCAACACCCACTGGGGATTCGTGCAGGAGAAACATCTGCTTTACTCGGCTGGATTCTGAACTCTGTGGGGCTGCAGATGTGTAAAGACAAGTAAAATAGAAAATGTATTTCTGAGAAGAATTTCTGGATGTTAGGGGAAAAGGCAGCAGCCGCTTAAGACTCATAAAGTCCTAAGACTTATCCCCCCAAAAGTGTCTAAGAGATGCAATAACTTTCAACCTATCCACTTCCTCCTCATAACATTTTTTTTGGGGTGCATTTATCCTCCAAGACGACACTTATTTAATACTGAAACTTCACAATCAGTGATGTTCTGGCTACTGCAGGTGATAAATATCCGCAGACCTAATAGATGGTTGTAGAAACTGCATCTGCTCAAGGAATCAGCAGAAAAAGGATCAACTTTTACACAGACTGAGCTAGTTTGAAGCAATACGTTTTCCTGAATTCCTACCATTTTCCCTGGGAAAAAGAATTTGTTTCTCACTCCAACTGTTGGGAAGAAGCCCATATCATAAGGAGACGCAGACACTGCCCCTCCTTTCCAGTCTCACCCTGATCACATTGCAGTGATGCACATTGCATCATTTCAGTGTCCTGCCTGGGGGCCAGAGTCCTGAGCCACCGGCGCCCTGAGCACTTCAGCTGCTCTCTCTGCGCTCGTGTCCCAGGAGCACAGCCTTCCCCGATGGCACCACCACAAATGCAGCTGCAGGAAAGTTGTGTCTTTCTCACTTGTGAGCAGAGTATGCTTGCAGGAAACTGGATTCTCTGAAGGTGGAGCTTCAAAAGAAGTGAATTTTGCATTTTGTTGTAAGATTTCAGGTTCCCGTGTTCCACAGCCCTGCATAAACCGTCATCTCAATTTCCAATTCTCCCTCCTTTAGTTGATAGTTTAGTTGATAGTTCCCTGTTTTGCAAGATTGTATCTGTGATGACCACCGTTACAGAGACATTCCTCAGGTAACCTAACGTACACGTTGAGGATTTTGGAGCGTTACAATCAAAAGTGATATCGTGCTCTCAGGGAAGCAAATGAGAGTTCGCTTTTGACTTAAACGGTTGCAGCATTTCACACCTAGACATTTGGCTGTAGTGCGTGTGTCCCCATTCCCAACCATAGTGACTTTTCAGTGATGGTCCAGAGATCAGAGCAGCTAACTCAGAGTCCAGCAGAATCAGTCCCAAAGCTGCTATTCTGTCTCCAGAGCTGTGCAAGGGTTGGAGCAGGGAACAGAACTACTCTGTGCTCCTGCTGCCCCATGCAACAGAGTCTTTTGACCCTGATGTTTCTGAAAGCGACTTTTAGATTTCTGTATTCTTTACTGAACAATGTTCTCTGCTGAGGAGAAAAAAAAAATCAGATAAATTCAATGGTAAATTAAGAAGCACATTCACTGCATACCCAATGCTCCTCCTCTTTGATTTGAAACTCATGGTCTTGCTTTGCAGGCTCTAGTATCTCTACTAGGCTTCCTCCAGCACTTTCATTTGTGAGGTTTGTGGTCTCCTGTGTCTCTTGCCCAAGTGTCACACTGTACGGGTAGGACCGGGCCAGCTCGCTGAACACAGATGTGAGGCTGCACACACTCAAAACTCACTCAAAACTATCAGTGAACTAATGACAAATGTCACAATGTGATTCACAAAGCCCAAGCAAAAAATGTAACTACTTTGTTTTGATTTTTTTTTAATAGGCCAAAAAGTAATATCAAAATTGATAGTGTCTCTCAAATCAAGAAAAAAGTAAAAGCCTCAATCAAAAAGCTATGCTTAATGCCTGGTCACCAGCCTGAAAAATCAGGTTCAAGCATTCAGTCCAAAGAGCTGGTAAAACAAATGTAAAAGGAAAAATTGGAAAATCAGTTATTCTCGCACATCTAGGGTGAACGACATTATTGGAGAGCAACTTGATAAAACGTTGGGAAAAGTGGAAATAGAATTAGAACTGTAGTTCTCGGGAGACACCGCATGGAGGTGCTACCCACCTTCAAAATGAGCAACTTCCCTTTTCCCTTTCGGGATTCGCTCGAAAACGTCTTTCAGCGGGGAAATTTCATCAGAAACGGGTCAGGAAAAGATAAACAAGTCGGCATTTTATATATGAGCTCTCACAGTGCTCCTGGACACAAGCAACCAAACCCAGGGCCATGTGTGCCCTTCAGTAGACCCCAGTGCACCGGCCCACCCGCCGCAGCTCGGGGCCGGTGCTGGGCCAGCATTTGTGACTGCCAGCCCTGCCTGCAGCCATCCAGAGGCTGCTGCGCTCGGCAAGCGGGGCCCGGAGGCTGCCCGGCCGCCTCTCCGTGACACCAGGGACCACTGAGGCACACGGGGAAGACCCCATGCCCTTGGCTCCCTGCCCTCTCTGCCTCCCCTGAAGCTGCAGCCAAATTGCTTCTCGCTCTGCACAATGCCAGTGATCACAGTTAGGCTCTGAGTGCCTGATGAAAAACATACGGAGCACCTACTTTTGATTTAGGAGGCGACCCCCACTCTGGTGGCCTCATGGCCTTCTAGTTACTGCTGGAAGGTGTTTTCTTTTCCTGGAGGACATTTTGGTCCTGAATTTCCACTCTAAAGCTTGCTAATGAAGGGACTGGAGTGGCTCAATAAATTCCTGCTTCCTCCTCCCTAACAGATGTCCCTGCACTCTGTCCCCAGAACTGAAAGCGTTCAGTTTGGTTTGGTTTTCTTTGTTATTCTACAGTCAGCAGCTCCCTTTTGAAAGATAAATAGGGCCAAGGATGAAGTAGAGCCAGGCCCTGAGAGTGCCCTCCCTGCAGAGAGAAGGAACTGACGCCTGAGCGACACCTCTGAAGAGAGCAAACACAAGAGTCCCATAGCAGCATGTGCTGCTGCTCGAGAGACAGGGCACGGGCAAGCAGAAAAACGGGCATGCCCAGCAAAGGGGTTGAACAGGAGGATGGTAACCTGCGCTGTGCGGGGACCGCAGCTCTACGGGGGCTATGGAGGCCGGAGGCAGCTCCATTCCTAGGATGTTCAGAGCTCACCTGGACCCCACCCGGGCAACCCGTTGTAACTTTGAAGGCAGCCTTGCTTTGCACAGGAGACCACACTAAACGACCTCCAGAGGTCCTTCCCAAGCTGTATTTGTCTGTGATTCTATAACTTGGAAAAGCAGCATCAACGGGCAACAAGTGAATCAGAGGAAGAGCCTGCTAAGTGTGTGAAAGGAGCTGCGAGGCCCGAGGCCCCCGCAGAGGCATTTTAGCCTGTTCTTTTGGTGGGAGCCAAAGGCAGCAATGCTACTGCCTGGAAGTCCTGCTCTGACTCATCCCAGGACACATTTCTGCAAGGCACAGCAGAAAAGGAGAAGTGACTGAATGGGGGGGGAAGGGAGCTGGCCCCATGGAAGCTCTGAACAGGGAATTTTAGTCTTACTCATCATATTATTTTTATATTTGGTTTTTCAGATGTAAACCTCAGTGTTTCTGTAAGCATGTTAACTCTGTGTTCACCATGAGTTTGGCCACTAGCTCCAGTGACTCCTGGCTGGCTGCTTCCATGCACAGACAAACGTCTTCCAGCTGGGAGCGCTGTGTGGGCCACTGCAACTGCCTATAGGTTGTAAGGAAGGAATGGCCTGCCCGCTGGCTGCCTACTKCTTGCCTGGGCAGACTTCAGTGTCCTGCTAGAGGAAGAAGGAGAGGGATGGGCCTGGTCAGGGAAAGACACAAGCAGGGAGCAGGTTAGCGCAGATAAATGAAGTGTAACAAACAGATAAGCCAAGGGGGCTTATAGAAAATTCAGTGAG